CCATTCCTGCATTTGTTCTAGTGTCTGTGTGCCCTAGGGAGTACCTGTGGCAGTGAATGCATTGTCCCTTCCCACAGAAAAAGGACTAAAAATCTTATTATTCTTTGTGCTCACTAAATGAGGGTTGAGGTGATCCATAAGAGGAGGAGAGCGTCAGGAAACATACCGAGTTGTTATACTGCCTTGAAGAGTTTCTCTCCAAAGCCTCTTTATAAGCAACACCACAGTAACTTTATTTTTGAAACATGTTTATCCACCACTATCGTTAAACGTGCCCTAAGAATTTTTGTTTTCTGGAGGGATGAGACCATCAGCTTTTACATAACAAACAAGCAGAGAGAAAGCTTTTTCTGTTAAGAAATGGAGTGTCACTTTTGATGGGTGGGGGTAAAAGCTGGAGGTGCCCAAAACCAAATTCTGCCATTTAATTAGTAATCAGCAATGGTCTGCCAGTCAGAGTTACTGTAATTCATGAACTGTTAAGTCAAAGCAAAAATGGCAAGTAATTAGACTGTATCCACTAGAGCTTCACTAGCACTCACTCATACAGCTAATACCTGAGGAAATGGAAGTGTGAAACTCCTTAATACATTCAGCTTTTTAATTAGCAATCAGTGCCAATTTGTCAGCCATACCAAGTCTAATGCAAGAGCCATTGAAACAGAGAAAAAAAGCACACTTTCAAAATCATTTATGCTTATATTTACATTCCCTCCAGGCTGAAACATTGGAGGAACTACTGAAATATCATCTTTGCCATAGAGCAGCAGAAAGCACGTAGGAGCTTACAGTCCAACATAGCCAATGAATTACTGACTGCTTGGGTTAAGAGAGAAGTAGAGCGTTTACAAGGGGTAGTTAGTATCTCCAAACACTGACAAATAAACGTTACCGGGTTTAACTGTACATGAAACAGAATCTCCAAGAGCTTGGGTAATACAAGTCACATCACAGTCAATGATATTTTAAAGAATCCATTCATAAACAGAGTGTGCTTACCAGACTGCTGAGCTTTCCTCGTCTCTGGATGGAGGAGATGGTGGAAGAGAAGTGCAAAAAGCCATCCTTTAGCCAATCTTCACAGGTGCCGAGGAAACCTGAGCTGCCTGAGGGCGAGGCAGATCACTGCCTGCTTCTGAGCTTTCACTGGTGCAAGATCTTCACCCAAAACAGGATGGGCTCTACAGTGCTCCTAGTAAGCTGAGCAGCAAAGCTGGGCTTTCCAGCATTAGGCCAGAAGCCACTTCCCCCTTCCTCAGCCCTCAAAGAAATTGAAGCGCTGGAGGGAAAAAAGGAATGAGAGGTGTAGTGGTTCTCCTTTTTTTTTGTTTTTACCCATATTAATATAAATACCAGAACTTTAATTGCTTAATTTCACCAATATAAAGTACCTGCACTAGGCCTCCCTATATAAACATAAAAGGGATGCTTCACATCTCTTTGTAAGTACTTTTTTTCCACTACTTCATACATATATGTACTTTTACTCTAACTTGCTTCAAGAACAGAGGGTAGCTCCCACTGTAGTCAGACTCTTATACTTAAAGTCAGTATCAGTGTATGGATCAGCTGGTAAAGGCACCAAGACAGCTTAAACTAATTACAATTTGCAGGTAGGGTGGTAATTGCACTTCTAACTGCCTAAATTAGGCATACAAATGCATGGCTGCCTTTGTATAGAGGCTGATAGAATACCCTGTGCCAGCTGAAAATTCAGCCCTAAATAGTGGTAATGTTCTTGCCTAAAAATGACTTTTGTTTGCCTAATGTCTGACAGTTACATCTATTTCACTAGATGTTTAATTAGTTTGTTTTCATGGTGTTCCCATTTCCATTTTAGCTTTCATTAGTGATGGGAGAGAGCAGGTTTCTGGCTCTGCACTTAAAACCAGTCCCAAGGCAAAGAACGTGGCACCAGTTTGCCTTCACCCTTCCAATGTCAGCTGCATAGAGCACTCAGCCAACATTTTAAGCTCTCAACAGCTTTTGTGTTTTTAAAGTACATTCAAGCTAGCCCCTGTTTCGTCTCTGATGGCTGGCTTTCAGAGGTTGTAAACATCCATCTCACAGTGGAGTTTTCAGTTCCTATTTTTGAAACAGCAACTATTTTTCTGCAACATACAGGTCAAGCCGTCCTGTTGAATCTACAACAGATTCACAAACAGGTGCTCTCAAGCAGCTGTAATCTCTCCACCTTTTCACTTTGAACAAAAACCTATAAAAGATTAATCATCTTACTCCAGAAATGCTTTAATAGCTTGCTGTGAATGGATGTTTATGAATTCTAGGGATAGGTTTATGAATGGCTGGGCTGCTGAAGCCCAGACTAAGCTATGTGAAGAAGTTCATATGATCCAGATATCAATAAAAAGGGAGAGTTCAGCTCTAAGCTGGGTCCCAGACTTTGTCCTATCTCTTGGCCAACTGCTGGTTTTTCACATATCTCAGTGGGCTTTCATCTAATTTAAACAAGCAATCTATTGCTTCCTTATAATCACCCTGCCTCAGTAAAAGCTTTAGTCTACATACTCCCTCCAAACTACCACCTGTTAACTATACAGGCTCCTTAAACACCATTTATAGAATAAACTTCTGAGCAATATTCTGTATTTCAACAAAGATAGGTAGGTAACACAATGCATAATTTTCTCAAAGTGTTGACGGGCGTACTTAAATAAACTCCATGGCAATGTACATACAGCACACCTACTGAAAGGGGTTTTCTTCTTGGAGCACTAGTACCCAAAGCTTCAAGATACACATACTAACAAGGGAAGCGGGTGGCATGCTGCGAGGAAACTGCATTCTCCTTGGAAGTTTGGAGCAGAACAGGGAGACATCCCCGCCTAACACCCACCCAACAGAAGACCCTTTCCTTTGATAGCTGTTCTTCAATTTTATGAGGAAGCAGTTTAGAACAATGGACAAGAGTAACTATTCTTGTAGCAATGAGCATGAGCTCATTGAACTGTTTGATTTTGTACAGCCTACAAGGAGAGAAGGTTGTTTTAAACAAAGATCTTCCTTTGACCTCCTCTTCAGAGTTCCAGTCTTTCTGAGTGAAAACAATTCTTCTGGATTCTGAATATGTGCCAGCTCTGGAACAGTGGTAAGAGTCAGGTTAGAAAGAAATGTCCTTTTTATCTCAGGTTTGTTCCTCAGTTACAAAACAGATCCTATAGTTTTACTAATATAGAAATCTAAGCTTAAAGGCTTAAGAAACCGTACTTAGTTCAACTAAACTCTCTAAATTAAAGTTTAAGAAATTATTCAGGAGATTTTAACTAGGTATTGTACAAAACCAGATGACTACTGTTACTCAACAGGGCACATCCCATAGCAGCTAGATGGTAAAAGTATTATTGTTTAAAATTCTGGTTTTAAGAACCAGTCTCACCTAAAATTTAAAAGAACAACCAAAATACCCCCCAAAATTATATCCTTGTTCTAATGCTACAACGTGTGCATGTAGTATTGGAAATGGAGAATGTGGGAGAAAACCTCTCATTTATAAAATTTTCTTATTTTTTTCCCTGTTTCTGTTACTCTAGAGCACCTCTCTAACTTAGAAAGCTCACTTCCACCTCTAACCCTGTTCTGTCGTGTACTCAAGTTTCTTGCTGCTGTGTGACACCTGTAAAACTAATAAGCACACTCTCCCTCCCTATTATCCACTCAGTCAATACAAACACTGAGCAGACCCACTCAATATGACCACAGTGGATACTAATAAGATTTGCTGTCTAAGGGGTAGAGATTCACCCACTAGTAGTTTCCCTCTGCTAGTAAACTTACAATACTGTCATGCAAGACAATGCCTCACGCGTTTTCTCTAGTATCCAAGACTTTGTTACACTGCTCTAGGTAATTAGACAGAGAACAAGTTGTCAAAGCAGCAAATCAGTCTTAATTATTACCTATCAGCTTGTTATTTCAACCTCAAATCTCACTGTTTTCACTCCTCTCTATCTCTGAAAAACTTCTGGCCTTCCGACAGACAATATCAAAAGAGCAGTTGAGGGCTTCAGTACAACCTGGAAATACACAGTAGTAGAGTATCCTCACCAGTTTGGGACCAGTTTGCCTTCAATGAACTGCTGCTAGAGAACATTGCCTTAGCGCGTAGTCCAAAAGCAGTAGACAAAGTAATGAATACATTGTCCTTTTTAAATATGCTCATTTAATTAGGAGACGGAGCTGCCATTTTTCTTAGTTCCAACACAAGACTTCAACAGTACGCCCATTTTTTAAATAAAAAGAGCATCTTGTGCTGAAACTTGACATAACATGCTAAGATAATAATGCAGCCAGACTGGAGAAGGAGGTAAAGGCACCTTAGAGGCAGGCACAGTCTTCCTCATTCTTTAAGGATTAGCAAGACTGAGCAGAACTAGTGCCTCTATTAGGAAGCTGTATACAACAAATGAAGATAAGTAGGACTTGGCCCTCTGAGCAATCATCTTCCCTTCATTTAGCAGCAACAGAGCTGTGCAGGGGTGGGAATGACAAAGCAGTCAATACAGTGAACTTGATATAAAAGCTAAATATAAATAATTTGGAAATTAAAGATGACCAGAGAAATAAGGTAAGCTGATATTATAAATTTGCATGTAGTTTACCACAGTGAAGATGCCCTTCCAAAATAACAGGAAGAAACCAAAAACTGTTGTTGAATCTTTAGCATAGTATTTATTGAGTTGTTTATTTCCTAGAGCAATTTTATTATGTAAATGTCAGTGCATATTTAGCTCAGATCTTTATTTTGAATGGATAAAATAAAAAAAACCCATGGATACATATATCCAGGTGAAGAGGGGAGAATGGTAAATATATTAAGGGGAAAAAAAAAGTTTGTTTCTGGCAGGTTTGGGCCTACCAAGTTATACAAATAATCAAAATACATTTGTAGACTGGAGCCCAACACAAGGCTTTGTCTTTTCACACACAAAAAAGTAGACTCTCATAAAAGCCTGTTTAGCAAAGCCAGAAGCAGTGTTATTTTAAACAGTTTATTTACATTGCTTAGAGTGGCAAAAAGAGATATTAAAAAAAACATTTAAGTCTGACACATTCAGAAACATCACTAGTTACATATAGACATAAGACAAGACACTGGTGGTTAAAAAGAAACCAGAAGTTGAGAACTTCTGATAATAGTCGGTTAAACCATTAATGAAATGCAGAAATATACATATTTAGATAGTTCCTGAGATAGCATTGCATCATACTAACTGTTCAGAGATGACAGAAGTGAACATATAGTTTTGAAGGAAGATGCAAATACATGAGAATGCCAGGTAAAAGCCTTAGGAGTACTACACTTGAAAACTGACACACCAAATTTGGGCTCTCAAGTTATGATGTCACATCAATAATCCCACGCATTAAATAATTATTTGTTAACGAGTGTATGGAAGATGTGGAGTTTGGGAGGTTTGTTTGGTTACTTTTCTCAGACTTCCACTTCAAAGAAATTCAGGGAATTAAATTGATCACTTCTGGTGGTCAAAGCTAGTCATAGCCTTTAAGCCTATTCACAACAAACCCATGTTAACACACCACAGTGTTATGGTGAGGCTGCAGAAGACCATAACCACAGAAAGTCAATTCTATTTCTTTACAAAATATTTGGAATAAGCAGCTGTACAACAGGTTAACTGTCATACTTGAAATGTCAGGTACTTCATAATGCATTTCCATTTAAGAACTCAACAGTTCAAACATTAGAGTGCTCTGCCAATTGGTCAAGTTAGGCAAGCATAAGAGTCATCCAAACTTGTTGCAAGTTATGTGAGCATCATCATTTCAAAATCTGACAAATTAGTTTATTGCCTAGAGGGGCAATTTCCATAGAAGAAAATGCTTCCATTAACGTTGGTGAGAAAATAAGTCTCTGCAAGGGAATACTGTGTCTTAAATGAAGACAGAGTTACTTATTCCACTGATTAGCTGATCTGCTTCAACACAACTAAAAAACCCTTGTGATTAACTTAGTGTTATCTAACATTTTGCTAATCATTGCTAAGTGCTAATGACTAAGGTACCATTAATGTCAGTAACAGGTCATTTGTACAGCCAACTGCTTGTCAGTCACTACAATACAGCATTGTATTTTAAAGGTGCTTCATATCAAGTGGGTTGTTGACCGACTTAACGTATGACTCCTTTTTTCAAAGATTGAGGGAAGATTGACCAAGGAAGGAGAAGGAATACCCTGTTGGGGAAGATGAAAAAAAAGTGTTATTCGGCTAATAAATGATCAATGTGAGTAGTGCAGTAGTCATTTCTCAACCTTTATACATAGTATGCTTATATATAAGGAATGAAACAGTACAGAAGATACTTAAGATTGGCAGCTTTTGAAATTAACAAATGAGCATTTTCCAGATTCTGAACAGAAAAGTTAAACAGCACCAAATGAGTGGAATGGGTGCATTTTTAAAAAATGCGGAAGAAATTTATTCCTTGTTACCAGCCTTGAGAGATTCAGAATTCAGGAAATGTATTTGAAGAGTAGCTGTTAACCAGAATGCAGGAAATGTATTTGAAGAGTAGCTGTTAACCAAGTATTAGCATACGTCTTGCATCACACTTTTTGCAGTAACATTCTCCCTCCAAATTGAAGGCAAGATACATTATGATTATCTCTTAAAGAAATGGAGCTCCCCTCAGATCCTACAACTTTCTGTATTCTTACAAGCTTTGAGCAGCAAATTAGATGCTGAACACATGCTTTCTTGACTACAGAAAGCAACAGACATCGCAATGATTTGCCAAAGCTTGCTTCAGCTGCACCTCGATGGGCACAAACTAGGCAAAAAGCTGACTTTTCTGGTGCTAGGAGCACAAGCTGCTTCTGGGAATTAAAATTACCAACACATCAATATGTAGCACTAAAAGTTAACCTCTCTGGATCAGCTGAGATTTTATCTTCTTTTTACACTAGACCTCTAGATACTTTCACAAGTCATCTTCTGTTGCTCTTTATAGCACAGCCAAGCTTTTCAGCCTATAAACAGGTCATGGTATTTAGGCAGCTTGCTGCACCCGCATGCCTCAACAATCTTTTAAATAGGGATATTTTGAGCAGGTAAGGATATACCACTTCACTGTGAAGTCTAATGCCTGTTTATTGCATATCTTCTATTTGCAGTCATAGACAATATTTGAAAAATAAATCCTAAACTCCTCTTTATATAGCAGCTTTTCCTAAACTCTAGAGTATTTTATACCAGATATTTTTTCTATTTACAGATAGGGGAACAAAAACTTAAAACCATAGGTAAAATTAGCTGTTCAAGACTTTCCTGCAACCAAGTTAATTCCTCAGAACTTCGGCCACTGATCTACACTGCCACTTGGACACTTAAACCAATAAATAATTCAATTGTATAGAAATTAAGAACACAAAAATATTAAAGTTAAGAGGATTTGTTAAAGAATTAACTTTGCACCCAGAACCAGAAATAGAACTGGACCACATGTGAGTGTTAACTCCAACCCTGTGCATTAGAACAAGTGAAAGAAAAACCCAACACCATTTGAAACACTTTGTGGATTCTAGGGTTTTATATAGTTGTACCGTGCTGTCTTAGCTTAGAGGAATCAAGATTTTTTTTGCTCACTTCATGCAAGATGGGCTTTAACAGTCAGGATGTGATGCTCAGAACTTTTCAGCATCACACTGGTTATCATCCCCAGCATCGACACAAGTGGTAGTAATAATAGGGATAGGCCATGATCTGTCCAAGGCATGACCATTTAAGCTTTCCAAGTTGGAAGAGGTTTTTTCTTCTACAGCATTTGAAAGATGAATATTTGGAGAACCAGGACATAGCACAGGTTGAGGCCTGGAATTTTGTGAGCTCCAATCAACAGAATTGGAGCGATGAACATTAACAGCACATTTGACAGATCCATTTAGGCTGCACGTAGAAGATGAACGAGCAATCTACAATTAGGAAGGGGTTCAAGAGTTAGTTCAAACATGAAAAAGCCCAAGCATCCAAGCTTTATTGATATTTTTACTTCATTATTTTTCTATGCCAAAAAAAATCCCCACATAAGCAAAGGCCAGGATTTAATTTAAATAAAACAATGGCCAAATAACAGATTTGACTCTCTCAGTGGACTCAGAGAGGTTTGCTGCAGCTTCCGTTTCCTTCTTAAGAACTGCATCGGGGATTCAACCAAACCTGGGATTCAACCAAAAAGGCTTTACGCAAGTTCAGTGGTGTGTGGGATTGGTTAAAAAAAACCCACACATCATCACACACAACATATGATCTGCTGCCAAGCTACAGCTTAATACCTCAGAGGTCCAAGAAACTCTGGGAAGAATTTAAATAGGAATATAGTTTTTACTACTGTAAGTTCCTATCATTTTGTGGAAAAAAAAATTATATTTTTCTATGGGATAGACACACAAAAGTACATGACTTGCATTTTCATGAGAAATGACATACAGTGCTGTATCAAAGTGGAGACAGAATATTAGAATTAGAAAGCAGTTGTTGAAGCAGTCAATTGAAGAAAGTCTCTACAGAGAGCTGAGATATAGTCTACCAGTGTAGCTGTTTCCTCTAAATCAAGGGAGTCCACTGTAATACTTCCTCCCTTATTATTCCATATTTTCTCATGCCTATCTCATGTGGGAGAGCAGGGCAATATCTTCATGTTGTACAATTTAATGGCCACTCAAACATACTGAATTATCTCTATATTAAAGGTACTGACATATGAGGCAACAGTAGAAAGATACACAAGAAATCCTGTTCTTGGCCTTCTGTCCTACAAACTATAGGCTTTAAAGGAGATGTTTACTCAGCATATAGATTTACACAAACACTAGAATAAAGGTGAAGGTGATGAAAAAAATCCTCCAAATCTAGTCTGCTTTACTAGACTGTACTAGGAAATTGAGTTTGACCTCAGGTAGCAGAAGTTGCAATAGGCAGCCAGGCATAGCAGAAGAGTTGCAGTGTGTAGAAGAATATATTCTTTTACCAAGTTTTCTTAAGGACATATAAGGAAATAATTCCCTTGCCTTTTTAAAAACTCGCAGGCTGCAGCATCTGTATTTCTCAACCCTTCCTTCCCAGTTTGTTTCACAGCACATCTATCATCTCACTACTTTCATTGATACTTTCACCATGCTATTCAGGGTTGTACACCACATTTGTATATTGGCCAAAAAATCAAAAGCATGAACCAACTCAAGTCAGGGTGTTGGAAGTCTCTCCCTCTGAGGATACATATTCCATCTCTGCCAAAAGAGGTCGTTTTGGTTTTGGGAGGTTTTTTCCAGCTTAATTGTACAAGGCAACTCCCAGTTTCTGGTACATACAGCAGATTTTTCTGCATTTTCTTCAGGTAAGCCTTCTCACTAAACAATTCTTGCTCAGAAAATAATACATCTATCAATGTAGTTAAAGACAAGTTTTTCTACTGTGAATCTTGAAACTGTTAAAGTAAAATCAGCACCAGACATTAAACTAACTGTGATCTTAAAAAAGGTTACTTATTTTGCCTGCACAGCCAAATCACTTACCGCTAATGACGACGTACTAGTCAGTCGGCTGCCTATATAACTCTCATTAGCTGAACTGGGGCTTCTTCCTTCTGTTGCACTATGTGACATTAAAGCCCTTCGAAGAGCTCTCTTTGGTGTTTTTGAGAAAGAAAATGCTCTTGTAACCTGAGGAGTTTGACAAGCAGTTATACACTGATTAAAAAAAAATAATCAGGCTGTAATAACTACAATAATATAGGTTGCCATTCAAATTTTTAACATCTGTAGGGATGTGTATCAAAACTAGCCAAACAAATATACCCACAAGGTGATCTGTCTCTTAAGGTCACCCCATCACTCCTGGTCTTCTCACTCTGTCCAAATATGGGCAGACAAGAGGGAGGAATGAGGAAGGAGGGCAGAGATTCAGGGAGAAGTCAAAATAAGGTCTGGTCAACTAGGCTTCCCCATACCCCTTCTGTAAAGTCAGGCCCCTCTCCTTTTAGTTGCTCTCAATTTAGCCTTCAGCAGCTTCCAAACTACGGGAGCCTCTATGGTTTTCTCTAAGAAACAGTAATTATTATCTTGAACATACTAAGGCCTGCTGTGAGGCTGCTGAGAATGAGGAAGTGATTACTCCTTGCTGCATCACTCTCTGCCACCCCTTCTTACACACACAGACTTCTGCAGAACCAAACCCAGCACCCAGCCAGCATGACAGCGCAGACAGGCAGCCCTCCTCCTGCCTCCCAGCCAGCTCCTCTTAGCAGAACAGGGCACAGTTCCTCAGTCTGTTAGCTGAGAGCAGCTAAGCCATACACAGAGGAAAGCATACCCAGGCAGACACTAGCATTCAGCACTTACTTCCTTGCTGTTTCAAACTCTGTTCTATTATGACAGGCATACTCTACACCCATCATACTTTTGAAGGTACTTGAATTTAGGTAACTGCATGCAGCTTTAAAACCATTCAAGATGCTAAAAACAGTTACAACTGAGGGTTGGGATGCTTTTTAATATTTTGAATCTTTCAAATATATTACAGAGAAATATATTACAAAGAAACTACAGACTCAAGAATGACTACATAATTCTTATGACCGTAATACTTAAGACTATATACTCCAAAACTACGCAGTCAACACTCAATCAAACACTCCCCACCTTCTTTAAAAGGCTTATACTGAAAGAATTTTAGTTCAGATTTTTTCCTGTCACTACTGTAAGTACTACAAAACACCTGAAACAGGAATACTAGCACAATTCCCCAACTAAGATGAGGTTTACTCTAAAGCACTATCTTTGTGGTATCTTACCTTTTTTGATGTTTTCTTTATTGCCCTGGATGCTCTGCTTAAAGTACTGTCCATATCTTTAGTAGTTACTTCAACTGAATCAGGATCAGCAGTATAAATGAGATTTTCCTATAGACAAAAACAATGGTCAAACATCAGCACTTGTCAAAATATCATTCTTTAGTCTTTTAGGTCAGATTTAGAGGTTTTAATTGCCATATTCCTCCATATTTAACAACACACAGTTAAGCAGCTATTTGCTTTCATGACACTTCTGTAGATTAACTGCTGGTGCAATCAGTTTATGAAACCACTTCATCGGTAGTTTTACATTTGGTTTGTTTGATTCAGTTTCAAGCTCGGGGTCGACCAAAGTAAAGGCAGTAGTTCTGAAGTATACCTAGGGAGTTTCAGAAGATATATACCTCTGTTTCACAGACACATCTAGCACTCTTCTGAAGTGGAACCTTAATGTTTGACAGCTGAATCTATCAGGACTAAGTCTTTCTGCTTAAAGCCAATAGATGTTTCAGAATAGCCACAGGTTTTGGGTTTGGGTTTTTTTTTTTCATGCTTCATTCTTAAACTCTAGGGAGTGCAAAGCAATCCCTGGCTAGCTACTTCAAAACCTGGGCAGAGAGTGGGACACACATGAGAGTGGGAAGTTGCTGGGGGTTATTTTGTTGTTGTTGTTTGGGGGGTTTATTTTGAGAAAAGTCAGTTTACCCTCAAAAAAGTTCTGGGAAAAAAAAAATCATAATGACACCAGACAGCAAGCTGTATGGCTAGTCCTAGTGTCTAATAAAAAGTAGTTAAAGCCTTTACTGCCACCATGTGACAAAGCCAACGCTATCTCATTCTCACATGATGCTACAGAATTCTTGAAAACCAAGGAAAAGGGGAAGTGTGCTTAAATTTAATCTCAATTTTACATTTAAATCAACAAGAAAAGTAGTATTACATAGTTGGTACAAAGCAGTAGTTATAGAAATTATAACTAATGGGATTCAGCATAGGTTACAACTTGTCAGCATATGATTCTGCATGTCCTAGGGCAAGAGGGAACGATACATTTATTACACAGAGATTTAATTTCTATTAAAACCCAACACTTTTCCATTCCTTTGAGCTATGTGTAACACAGAAGACTGAAGATAGGAGACAGACAGATTAAATGAACACTGCTAAATCAGTACTTCCCCTACTCAGTACCTAAAAAAGAAGGAAAAGCACAAAACCACATTTATTATTCATAAGTTCCTAGATGACAAGCCAAACAAAATTAAGATACTATTTTGATTACCTATCTACCTGTCCTGAAACAAGCATGTCTTTAAAAATCAGACAACCAAATATTGTACAGTAAGAGTACAATGCAGACATGAAACATTTCTAGCCTAAATCAGTTGTTTCTGCTACATGTACTGCACAGATTTTCAGCGAATTTGGATGACTGATAGGAATACACTCTTACATAATTAAAACATTAGCTGAAATTGGAAATTGCCCTAATTGGAGAGGATCTACTCTTCAAATTAGTAGTTTTCTGGCTGCAGAAAGCCCACGCATTGAACTTCTAAAAATGTGAGGAGGCGAGTGCCTCCTTTATCTCATTGTTTTCTTTACTTCTTTGTTTTAAGGTTTTAGGCTTCTGTCTATAGGAGGAAGATGCTTCATGTCTCTTACATTATGGTGCCCATGCAGATAAGGTGTAGAACAAAGACTTCAACCTAACACAGAGTTGAATCAAAACACGATTCATAATGCTGGGATTGTAAATTGCAACATAGCTCTGAAAGAAGCAAGGTGAAGACAGTTCTGTTAGATACACAGTGTCAGAGTTTAAATTTTTTATAGTTACTTTGTAATGGGGAAAAGACATGATTCCTGGTTTTTAAGTACTTATTAGCCTCTGTAGAAGGTAACTTCCAGGCCATTTCCTTTTCCACCTTTTAACCACTCACTTGCAGACGCGCTAGCACAAATGTTTTCTGCTCTACTTCACCTCCAGCACGTCCACTATTAACAAGTTCTTTAGCTTCATGAGCTTCATGCCAAAAAGAGAGAAATAATTCCAATCAGCAACATGGTTCCAGAGTACTTACTGCATCTGCTTTACAAATAGTATTAGCCACATGTCGACATAATGTCTTCAACCAGTCTTCTTTAGGAGGTTCTTCAGTTGTCATCTGGAAACTGAGTAGCTTATTGTTGAGTTCTGTAGGGGGCCGCACAACTAAGGCAAAAGCTTTATGGCAATCTACAGTTTATTAAAAAAAAAAAACAAAAAAAAAAAAAGAGGCAAGGAGTTAAGACAAAGAATAATAATTTTTCACGTAATTCAGGGAGGAACCTTCAGAAGAGCTAATGTTCCATCTGCTAGAGTTAGGGACAGTATGATTTGGTGCAAGGATTTTATCTCTATTTACACAATAGCTGTTGCATCACTTGCAAGAGCACCAAGTTCTGTCCATATCCTTCATCAACAGCTGCAATCAGCTGTTCATGCAACAGTTTATTCACCAAATAATCTGTATACCATAGTCTGCAGACTAGTTGGTCTTTACTGGATATAGCACTAAGTATCAATTTCATTCTCTAACTCATAAAATGTTGGACAGATCATTTCTTTATTCATAGAGACCAAGGAAAATATTATTTACCCTATTCTGTAAAGCAGGAAAAAGTAACAAAGACATCAGTACTATATATAACACATTAGTTAAGTTATGCTAGTTTTACTGCTTAAACTTGGCCAAAATGACTCACTTGATTGCAGAAAATTAACCCATTGCTGGTATGCCTTTATAACAGACCCAGCTGAAGCATGCTAAACGGTTAAGAGAGAAAGAAAAATAACCCCTTGACAATTCAGAAAAGCAGCACTGGAAAAGCAGTCCTGGAAGGGAATGTATATAAGAAAGAGTAGCTGACCTCTCCCAAGATTTGCATACTAAAGTTCTTGGCAGATATGAAATGGGATGCCTACAAATGGCTCCCATCATCCAAGTCACAAAGTAAACTTATGTGTTGCACAGAAATTTGAAGAGAATTCTTGAGAGAAACCCATATGCATCACATTCACTACCTATCCTCTTTGCCATTTCTATTTTTTATTGGGTTTCTATGTTCAGGTGCTTCAGAGAACATAAAGCAGAACAAGTATGATGTGCATACCATCACCCACAGCGAAATATCAAATCTATCTTTCTACAGTATAGATCTAGAAACTAGTCTGACTAGACTTCTTTAGAAGTCACTATCAAGGCTAGAACAGTACTGTAGCATGACTTCTGCTGCTGTTGAAATGCATCACTTCAGTGAAACCCCTACAGTCTCAGCATGGCAAAGCAGCCGCAGAAATTAAGTCATCTAAATCTTTCTTTTAAGATGCTAAGCACTGCTCTTCCTGAACAGCATCATCACCAGATAAACGAAGATTTGATTTCACAGCAACATCACTTGTCTCTGGCCAGTCTAATGCTTTGGACCGAGGTTTGGGGGTTTTTTTTGTGGGTTTGTAAATCCAGAGCTGTCAAGCATACCCCTCTGTTTAACTCACACTGCCATTTGGTTAGCTTATGCTAATGCTATTTAGTAGTTCTGTTAAATTCAGCATCCTGCAGAGATCCTTGAAAAACCAAGAGGTCTCAGTGCAAGGAATTCTCAAGCTCATACACAGCTTCTAAGAGAAGCTTATACTAAAAATCACATACCTAGCATACCATACAACAAACATACCTTAGCACTCTGTCCCACAACAGCAGCCCTTTATACTCTGAACCACAACTTTCATTAGCTACCACAGCACTTCAAAGCATACAGACCTTCTGTCTCCCTGATGTCTAGGACTTTCTTGATCTGGGAGAGGGGCATGAGAACAACATGCTTGAGAGATGCAGGAGGCCTTGTGTGGCCATGCGGGCTCTTGAAAACACCAATAACTTTATGCCGTTTCCTGGCAATCTGCAGTGAAATTGAAGACAAAGAGGTTAAAGTTAAAAGGTCTATTGCCATCTATTTGTCTCTCTTCTATTCTTTTACCTTCTAGTATACAGGAAGTCTTTCTACAGAAAAATACTCAAGAGTGTTTCACTGTTTACCACATAAGTCTTTAAGGAACTCACTTATCTCACTATTCACTGTCTACAGTTCAAGTGGCCCAGCAATATTTGTTACTTAGCATCAATACACTCACCTCAAAAGTAAAATAAAATATGTTATGTTTAAAAAGACACGAGGGGAAGTAATTTTGCATTGCAGACCTCAATTCTACCCTGCACAAAAAGCAAGGGCCCTTTGAAACCCACCACAAGGTAGTCTAGATTTAAACAGAAAAGACAACACCTATATGCATGAGCCAACTTAGTCTATGGTGTGTCATATTCTAGAAGTATCACTTGCTGTTTCTTGGGTGTGCAGGCACTGAGTGGGTTTTGCAGTGGTGGCTGGTCAGTCAGTTTTTACTTTATGTTATCATATAGGTATCTTACATGCCTAAGTAAAGTATTTTGAGTTGCTTTTATCTTGTACAAGAGATAAGCCAAGAAGCTTTTCCCTCCTTTACAAGTGATGAAGATGAGTCGACCTGACTCCCAGGAAGAGTTCATCACTAGTCACAACAATAGGCTTTAGTCTCTAAGTGCTGCTTAAGACAACACTAGTTTTGGATTATTTTAGGAGTTGGTCTTCCGTGAAGACAATGTTCTTTACTGTTGTAGACAGTAACGAGTACTTTCACAAAGTGTCCTTTGAAACCTCAGTTTCTCCACATAAGTCTCCAAAACCCAGTTATATTACTTTTCCCCTCCTAGTTCTTCCTAACATACTGTTAGTCTAAGGCATTTAATATCTGATTATTTTTTTTTTTTTGGTAGTCTAAGCACAGACAGATCTACCCTAGAGACCCCCTATTTACTCACATTAAATATGACTAAACTTTAAAAGGGCAAACATCCTGCTGAGCCAAGAACTCAAGCACATTGGTACTACTCAAAGTGCTATTCAGATAAACATTTATTTCTTAAAATGCTGCTTTTAAATTTGATCTGGTTGCAAGACATTAAAGGCTACATTAACACCTCTTGATGATTCAACTACTTGTTGCCTTTCCATTAGCTATTGTATAAGCCAACACATCAGCACTGAGCTATCAGCTCCCCATGACTAAGAATTCTGTTTCAAAGTTTTTAAATTTTACTTGCTTATATTCATATGTAGTGTCAAACCTTTTATTATTCAGTTCATGAGATGTACTTATATAGCCATCTTACCTCTAGGCAGTCATTGAACAGAAAGAGCGTGACCTGTTCTCCCCTGTCACAGAGGTCATCACCAAGCGCTACCGTTTCCAAACGCTGAACTAAGCTTCGGTGAGAGGACAAGAGATTGGCCTAAGTGATAGAAGCAAAAAGCTCATTAGGCATTTAGTTCAAGGGCTGGATTACTGCTTGCTTACAGCTTAACACTGGAAATCTGTTTAAACCAGCACCATTGCATTTTAACCTCACATGCTTACTTCTTTTGCAAAAACTACTGCACAGTCATTTTACAGGTCTGCCACTTCAGAGAAATTACTTACTGGACATCCATCAACTTCATAGACAACATCAAAGAACTGCCTTTGTGCCTCTGTTTTTCTTTTGTCTTCATTAATATGTCTGAGGGAAGGATATTAGATTTATCTTCAGTATCAAGCAACAGTATAATGAATGCACAGCATTTAACACATCAAAATAATTAAGCTAAACATTCAGAGATATAGTTTACACAGCAGCACTAGAAAATGTAAAATCAACCACACTTGCTTACTGAAGTATCTAAATACCACATGCTAAGAACATAGGAAACTTCAGATCCAGAATATTCTTGTCATGTTATCAGTATTTGACATACCATCCAGTTAATAAATAATGCCACTCCCTCACCCTGTAAGATTCTGAACTAGAGACCAACGCAAAGCAATGTTTTACAGCCTGCATTTTATCCCCCAAGTCAGGACTGCAGCTCACCAAGAAACAGATATAAGAATAATTACAAATTAAAAGTTGTTGGTGTTGTTAAAGTTGGACAAACATTTACACAATTAATATAGGAGGTCATATTGCTGGAGACATGCTACACTTCAAAAGAGGTGAGACTTACAATCTAAAAAGCTCCAGCTTTAAGCTAATTAACTCATGGAATGGTGCCAAGAATAGCTAATACAGGACCAGAAGAGAAACTAATCTTCCAACAATAGTGTGTCCCTTCAGTGAATACATGCATACAAGTAAGATTTAAAGACAACACATCTCTTCTGTTCTGGATGGAACAGACAGAAATAAGAGTTGGAACAGAAGAGTAGACTTGGGAGGTTCCACTTCAGGGTGAGGCAGGGAGTTAGCAGAGGTTCGGGTAGAAGTGCTAGGTAACAACACCACAGACTCCTTCAAGAGCTCTGGCACAGATTGCCAAAGTGACACCACTGGCCAAAGGGAGACTGAAGAACACATACAATTATGTATATCTACATGGATAGTAAGATTATGGCAACAACACGCTAAGAGAAATTTAGAAGGAACAGATATTCTAAAAGCGTAGCAGTATGTTTCATACAATAAGCATCACTTACGTCATCACTTCCTTTAACGATTCAATAGCTCTTTCTAAAGTTACTTTATCTGGGTTCTCTTCTGCTGTATGCTTCTTAATATCTGCAATTAAAGAAAAAACTCAAACCACACACACACATTACAAGTGCCAGACATATGAAAAATTCAAGTTTAAACTGTAAATCGGATATGACTGAAATCACAGCTTTCTGGAGTCAAAATAGCCTTGACTAAGCAGGGAAGTAGGCTGAGCACCAATTGTCTATGCATATCATTAAAAAAAACCCACCTACAATACAAAACCAAAGCCTCAAACTATTCAGAAATCAACAAGACCACATGCTGGTTTTGTTGAAGTGCATAGACAAGCACAGAAGTCTTTTTCTAACCAAAACAAAGGGGGGGGGGGGGTTTATATTACTTTTTTAACATAATCATTATTACAGCAAGTGGTTGATACCAGGTGGAATGTATGAAGCTGTAAAGCCTTGTCAATACGAATTGCTCTCTAGTTTATGCTAGCTGCACTTGAATCTCAATTATATTTGTATTTGAAGAGACACAATTGTTGCCAGAGCAAACTTTTCCTCTACTTGTATCCTGCAGACAAATATATCAACAAGTGAAATTCAACCAGAAGTATGCTTTCTTCAGTAATTGGTCTTGCTGACTGCCATTAAACATGATTAACTCCCAGGATCAGGCTTAGTTTATATAAGAAAAGCTGTTGCTAATTATGACAAAAAACAGACTTTATCTTTGGTTTAGCACCTTCACAGACAAACTAATACAAAAATTTTCGCTAGCTTACCATTTAGTAGTAGAGCAACACTAGGCAGCCTTTGAACAGGACGGATAAGGAGTTCAGCTAGGCTTTGGCGGCCACATTCAGGTTTAGCTTGGTTTATCTGGGGAAAAGAAAGGGAAGAAAGGAAACAATCCTTACTTTTTACACACACACACACACACACACACAAGCACCAAAGTTACAAACTAGGAGAAAAATTGTCTTCCTTGAAACTAGCATTGAAGTTTGAGGATTGTTTACCACAGATACTTGGTCATTAACAGATCAGGTTAAAAAACATTATATTTAAATCTGCACAGAATTTACCATGTGATTTACGTTCTCAGAATGTCTAATTTTAAACTTTATTATCAACCCCTCAGTTCTTGTTTCAGATGGTAATTTCGGAGTGGGACAGGGGATGGCCTGTTCTCTTATTCATTTTCCCATCTTACTTGGATATAATTCCTGGTACCTCAGAAAACATAAAGCTGAAATCTATTAGTGTGATTACTCCACTACTTGAGAGACACTTGTTGGGTATAGAAGAGTTAAAGCTATGCTGCACTATAATCAGCTATATACCTTTATCTGAAGAGCTCAAGAGTCTTAAGACTCATCTTCAGATAACTCTTTCTTTGAAGATCATATTCCTCTTACATCTCCACTGCTATGCTCCTATTCATTAGTCACAAGAATGTTGAGAGATTCTACCTGCCTGGAAACTTATAGCTGCTGAAAGAGAGTTAAAAGCTATTTCAGAAATACACAGGGAGGGAGACCACTAAAAAGCAGCAGCTCTAGCTATCTTTAGAGAAAATAGAAGACATGTATTTGGGAAAAAGTAAATCAGAATGTACTTTTTCCAGCAACAAATGCATATAATGAAACTACCTTAAAAGCTGGATAACAGAGGAGGAACTTGGACATCTTATGAGAGAGTCTTACAAGGAGCTTGAGGGATTCACGTCCAAATCCTTCCTATTTGTCTCACCAAGAGATGTTCACATTCCTCCAAGCCTCCAAAATTCCACATTCCTCCACTTATTGCATTAAGTAGTTTACTTGGTAATGACCTCCATGTTCTACCAAATACTTAGTTCTGCAGACACTTACCTTTAGGAAGGCATGAAACCTTGGCTTCTGCTTTTCGCATCTAGTAATAGTCTCCTTGCTCATTTCGAAGAAATTCACAAATGGAGGGTATGTTTTCAACAAGTCTTTTGACTGAAAGAAACAACTGTTACAACTCTGCTTTACATATTATGTAGCATTGTACATATGTTCATATGCCCCGAGCCATACAAAGCTGCTCAAAGGCACATTTCAATAAAGAATAATAAAAAATGTGTTGTAAACCCATGCATGTTCACAGAACAAGTTAAGACATTTTTGCATGCCAGATGCCCAAGATTCAATGCTGCTGATTAAATGCAGACTGCTTTCAGAAACATCAAGTACACATGTGACAATCTTAGAAAGTGCCAAGCAGCTCAAGTAGAAGGCAGATTCTCACCTAGCAAGATGCTTTTAGTGAGAATTTTGGAAATTTCAGACAGGCAGACAGGTGTTTTCTCCAGTTACTACAAACACCTTTAGAAGACACTAAACCACCAGAACCTTAGACTGACAATTTCAGAATGCCAAACACTATTCGCCTCAAAATGATCAGGTCAGCAAAAGCACAAGACACCTATCAGACTACTTATTTTAAAATGCAGTGCAGTCCCAGACATTGCTTTCCTGTTCTGCACATTCTGTACTTGGGAAAACAAGGAGTCTTTATTCACTTCCACATTTCGAGTATTGAATGAAGAACACAAGAAGCTTCAATGAAGAGTTATTTTCCTAGTTATTTACCACTGATCAGAGACCACAGATAGCTAAGGTTACAGGAGGAGCCCCTTTTAATGTCTGACTAAAAAGGCATCTCTGTAGTGTTACAAATTACAGTTCTCAAACATCTATTTGGAATTTTACCCCCGCATACAAGCGGACAGATACATCCACTTAAACTTGACATGGATTACCTGTACAAAGTATATAATCTAACTCAACTGAAAAGTCTAAACAGAAAATACAATGATCCAAGTTAATATTCTCTCTCACTCAATAGCGCTTTGCTTGTGTTTGCTAGCTCCTACGAACAGATTATTTGTAAGGCAAGATAATAGCTCATAACTCAAAAAAAAAAACCCAAAACAGCAGAAACTTACATATTTAAGAATAATATCACCAATGCTTTTGCTTTCAGTCCAATTCATCATAAGATCTTCCAGGTCTTCCTAGAATACATGCAGGGATGGGGGAGAAGAAAATAAGATGAGAATGAACTACATAAAGCTATAAGATGGGAATCAGTGTTCTGCCAAATACGTATAATTAGCTCTGTGTGTCCATGCTGACAAGAGGCAATCCTGAAAGCTGTACAATGTCACATTAAGCCCCTTCATCTACTGAGAGCTGAAAGCAAGAGACCTCTGCCTTACTGAATATAGTTTTAGATCAGCACTAGCCAACTCCGTAACAAGATGACACTGCTGTCCAAACACACTACAGAACATATCCCAACAGATTATTAAAAAAAGTATACACAATTAAGCCAACTAATGAAGAGTCCACAACTATTATAGGACTCAAGTCCATAAGATAGGATTCAAATAGAACTAGCATAGCTTTCCCTCACTTGCTGCACCAGGGTGTCAATTAAAGTGAGACCAAGCTGTTAAGCCTTTATCAGCTTGATAAGGATCAAGCTTATTCACTGTCAGCTAATAACAAGGACAAGAGGGCACAGCTGAAGGTTCAGGATTCACCTTAGGTGAAAAGGATTCACTATTAATATTAGTTTGTTGCTGCCACTATTAATTCAAAGATGAAGGAAAACACAACCACTACGTCTAAGCAGCTTTGCCTACACCACATGCTGCAGGTGAATCCTAGCTGACACATGGACACACACACACACTCTGCTTTCATCTCAGTGGGCATATATCAATACCTGTGATGATTAACTAGACTGGATCCCAGCAAAACTGGGAAAAAAAGCAAACCGAAAAACCAAACCACTGGGTTACAGGCAATCTGCAAGTCCCTCTGTTTTAAAAGCCTACTGAGAAATGCACACAGGAACAGACATATGCCATCATTTGAAGGAGATTCTTATGACTTCACATTTGAGGAAGACTTGCATCATAGTCTATTGTGAGACCCAGAGATGACTTCAGAGAGTGCTTGCTATCTAAATCAAAATATAAAATAAAGGAAGCCTCAAGAACACAATCTCATAGGAAATTCTGATCAGCTCTTATTAGGACTCAGTACCCAGTCAGCTGGTTCAGAGGTTGAAGCACAAGCCAGTTTTATGAGCTAGCAGTTTCTGACAACTGGTTCACAGTCATTTAAGGAGGGATTAGTTTTTCCTACCAAATGATAGAAGTGTCCTTATATGAACACGTCTAAAGTCCACTTTAGGAAACACTTTTTTTTGTTTTATTCCATAGCTTTAACTATACTTCTAAGTTCTCACTTACTGCTTTAATAGAAAAAAGTATGTTATAAACATTTGTGAGAGTTAAATTACCATTTGACACTACCAGCCCTTTTGACCAGTTTTGTATCAATTACAGAAAGACACCTACAGGAAGATGTAGTAAAATAGGAAAAGGAGAAGCCAGCTCTTGAATGGCAATATTAGTTACATACACAATACTCAGATTTCACATATTTATAAACAAGTGTTAAAGCTTAAAGCCTACATTAGATTTACAAATAATTCCATAATTTGAACAGTATGCAACAGCACCAGGATGAATCTACACCTATCCCGCAGATACCATTTAAAGCATGCAGAAAAGAATCAAAGTCTGTATCAAAGCTTCCCCTGCAGGGGAGAAGTTGTAGCTTGCCTTTATTTTAGTATGCACATCAAGAATATCTGGAATGCTGCCAAATATAGTCTTAATCTCTTCCTGTGCAAGGATAGGTCCTCCAAGTTGTCCTTCCTTCTCCAACGGAACTTGAAATAACTGATGAATTAGACAAAAAAAGTTAATGCCCTCCCAACCACCACACACTGTGTTAGAAATAGTTATAAAAGCAACAGCATTTTCTTTCCAGATCATACTTTCATGCTGTCACAATCTTGAGACACTCCCATTTAGCAAGAGTGGGTTATGGAGGAGTGGTTTTAAGACACATACACTGAGTTCGATACATCACTACGCCACAACCCCCTTTCACCTACTTTTCTACTCAAAGATCTTAGCTCATTCTTTAAGTAGATAATCAGCTGCAATGGAAATAAACTTCCTAGAAATAAAGCTCTTCCTGTAAGCTGTTTGCTATTCTGCTCTTGGAATAATTAAAGAAAGTTTTTTTCCCCTGCCATGTCTCTCTATTCACTAACATCGTAAAAATCTGAGTCATTAAGATCCTATTTTCCTAAAGCTTTGAATTTTCATACAAACTGCAATTCCACCACAGAACCCAGACTAGAAATTGTGTTTTCCAGCCTTTATTATTAATAGACATTAAACATTTTTATATGTTGGTAAAATTACATGAGACTTCTACATTATCATCTTTTTATGAACCTTTGATGCACCCAAGACCTCAAAAGCCTGCAGAGCACAGTTTGAAAATAATTATTGATGTAAACACTAGGTATCTTATTGCAATTGACCTGTACTTGCTTTAAAACCAGCTTACCTGAATGATTGTTGTTAGAATATCAACATAGTTACTTTCAGTCTGATACAATTCCTTTGCAACCTGCCATCTTGCAGACTGCTTTAGTGGAAGAGGAGTTGAGTTTTTGGAAGGCCTTGCACAGGATTTTGGTGTTTCTGGTGAAGATATATTCCCAAAAGAAAACAGAGCTTTATTACAATAGACTCCCTAAAAAAAAGGGTCACCCTTAAAGACAGGTTAAAAAAAAAACAAACACCTTCAGAATTTTTAAGGGAAGATAGCTTTTTTTAAAAAAAGGCTATTCTGTAAGTTATTCTGTAGTTACAAGAGCTCTTCCCAGAAAATGGCTTTCTTTATTACAGCCTAATTATAAAATAACAGTAATATAATATTCCTCAAAATAATAGTCTGAAACTAGTAAGCCATTTATGGGCAGGTTCAATAACTTAACCCTATTATGTTTAGTAGGAAATGAGGATTAGGTGCTGAACATTATACATACACTATGTAAAAAGTACTTTTCTACTTTCACTTCACCATATAAACAACTATCTTTCAGCTGCCTACCATCCTTGTATTAGGTATGTAGCTCAAAACCATTTATTAAAATCAGTCCTTGCATGTAACATTTACATTTCATCCTATGGGGGTGGGGGGGCAGTGTGGAGAAGACACAAGAAAGCCATTTCTCAAAGCTATGCCAAGGTGGACCTGGAACAGTCCATTCATTTTAGATACCTGCTCACGTATTGGACCTCAGAGACCCATACTCACTCATTCCGATGTCAAAGTTCCTTACTGTCATAGTTACTATGAAATAAATACCTTACCTGTTGTTTTCAAAATGGACTTTTTCTGAAATTGTCTGCTGACATCGGAAACTTCCACACCAGGAATTACAAGAATGCTAGCATGATCTAAGAAAGCTGGTCTGTGAGGTTGTGACTCACCGAGATACTTATTTGGCTTATATACAGGGCGTTTTTAACTGCATTATTAACTCCAGATACCTGCTTTATATGATGAAACTGGGGCTGCTTTTTTTTTAAAAAAAAAAAAAAAAACAACTCAGCTATTACCTTTAATCCACAATTTTGCAGTTTCCTCTCTTCCACAAGAGCCAAAGAGCAGAGACATTAAAAGCTCTTTGCCAATTAACCAATCAACAGTTAGCAATTTATATTCTTCTGAAGTTTTAGACATGACAGTTTGCCGGCACAAATAGCATTACCTCAACAGAACTCTTCAAAGACCTAGGAGGAGTGGGCTTTGGAGGAATTTTCCCTTTAATGCCTTTAGAAAAGAATCTTTGTTCTCCTTTCTCCAAGTATCCTACAGGAGAAGCTTTTAGATGATTTACTGTTAACGATGTTGCTTATCTGCTGCCGATTTTCAGCACAGAATTTGAAGTATTTTGGAGTAACACTGTACTGTACTTCATATTTATCAGCTCTGTCTCTTCCTTGCTTTCATTTGGGTATGAATATGCTTATTGCAATGACAAGAGGCAGCCTAGTCTCTGTCTGAACTCTTCATTTCACTTCTGCTTTCTGCATACTTTGAAAAGGAGAAAGCCTGGAATTAGTTGGGAAATGTGTAGCAAAGCCTGTAAGACTTCCCTACCACTACTGTTACCATTTGGATGCAGAGAGCTCTTAAACATTGCAAGTGCGTCTGAATGAAAGTTTTTAGCTCTACCTCCAGTGGTAGTGCTCGACTCTGGAGTGTTAGAAATATCCAGCAAGGACCCAACAGAAAGCGAATGTTCAGCTGATGGGCGTTTCCGAGGAGGGAACGGCGACATATCTGTTTCTCTGGTCAGTTGTGCAAGAGTTTCTTTCAAACGACGTCTTTTACGATTGCTGTTTGGAGTACTCAGAGAAAGAAGCGACACAGACTTCTTGAGGCCAGGACTCTCTGACTGGAGTAAAAGAAGGTTTAGTTTAGTGTTTTTATCCACTGTATCCAGCCCAAGTCAGTGCAAAGGTATGCTAATTGTAGAGATCAACACACAACACAAGTCTTCTTAGGGAATCCAAGGGAAAATGGGTGAGACCTTTTTTTTAAAAAAAAAATAGAAAAACACAAAACTGGAAACCACACTAGTATTTTGTTTGACTAAAAAAATAAGTTCAACCTTTGGGAAGCAGAAAAAGAATTCCAAACTAGTATTCTATGTGTATAGTTTAGAATGGATTATCTGGAACTTAAACGCTGCTTTAAAATATTTGATCTCTGTCCCCATGCTAATTTTTACCACCAAATATATGTGAGCATTATGTAAGATTGATCAACATACCTTCTCATATAAATACATGGACTCTCCAGCTCTGGCATCCATTTGAATGCTTCCCCAGAACCACTAAAGGAAAAAAAGAAAACACACATTAAGAACACGTTACAGGGCTAAGTTTAAAAAAAAAAAAAAAAAAAAAAACAAAAAAACCCACAAAACTATATATAATAGTAACGCAGTTTGCAAACTAAATGCAAACGTGGCTCATTCTGAAAAAAAACATATCCCACATACCAAGTGTTACATAGCAATATTCTGTCAAGAATTTGTTGGCACTAACCTCTTGCTTTACAACGTAAAGTTTTTTTAAAGGTTCAAATGGAAGATCTTTTACTGTACTTTCTTCAACCACTAGGTGTGTACACCTTTCATCACCAACGGGTAAATAATGTCCTCCTAGATAAAAAAAGGCAAATTAGCAAGACTAAAGAATATTATAACTTGACAGTTCTGTGGCATCTGCCATTACTGAAAGAAGAGGCAAAGAGAGATGAACTCTTCAGTTGACATTACCAGCAGTGCACAACTTTTAGGAAACAGAGGATGTAGCATGCAGTAGTAATGTACACATTGAAAAGTCAAGAGTACACAGAGTTCAGAGAGCATTTAGAACATGTCTGGCAATAAATGCAATATTATTCTGGAAAGCTTCTCTTGTTTCTTAGAACAGCAAGCCAGGAATACTCACCCTGAAGACATCCACAAGCTAAAACCTGTGCATGTCACAATCCTTTAAGTAGCATTAGGTAAATGGGTCAGGGGAAAGAAGGGAAGCAAAAGCCACACCAGAAGCCACACAAACCCAGCCAACTTTCATCTCTTTTGAAGAAGCCTTGCTGTTACAAGCTTGCTCCATTCCCATGTCTATCATTCTGACACACACAGCTCTAGCAATACAAGGCTGGAAACTTGTAAGCTACCTGTTACATCATTACTGTCAATATGATTATTAATGTAGTACTACACTGATGAAAAATGGAACACTTCCAATCAAGTGCTCTACCAGCGATGATTCACATCAAAGCTGTAAACACTGCAGCTACTTTCTGTGTATTATGTGAAGACACACACCACAAAACTGATTATGAAAACTGAAGCAGAATATACGTATTATGCAGCAAGTTTTCCAGGATATCAAGTATTCTATAATTACTTCTTTAAATTGTCTAGTTTCAATCAGCCTAGGAAGTTGGAAGTCTTCAACAGCTACCAGAACTAATGCACACACCAAGATCTAAAAATCAATTTATAGCTCTCTAAGTTGAAGAGTCTTCATTAATACTTCAGGATTCACAATCTAGTATTTCAGCTTCAGTGCAGTATCTATCTGCTATAAACCCCATTCTTTCCACAGGTCATCTTCCATAAACAATAACCTTGCATTTCCGTCATTTCTTCCATGTTAGCTTTCTCATCATCAGAGAATCCAAGGAAACTTAACATGCAATCCTGGAAAGGAGGAACCTTGAACTGACTTCTGAAGTCATCATCAGCTGCACAAAAAAAAAAAAAAAAAAAAAAAAAAGAGTGCACCAAAAGGTCACTAAATCTGTGCTACATCACTATTTAAACAGAAGCTCACCATACTACAGGTGAGCAGGATGCAAGGTTAAAGCTGAAGGAAAATAAACACCTACATTTCATTCCTTTTCTCCCAAGCGTTATAAATCCACTCAGCTTTCAAAATAGGTGTACCAAGACTTACAGCAATCTACAAAACAGGAAAAGTACAAATTGTAGCAAGTAAGTATTTCCATTAAGTCTTTCCCCTGACAAGAAAAATTCATAACCTTGCTTTTACATTTCAAGACAAATACTGCAAAAAGGGAACATATTTCTTCAGGAATCATGTCCAACTGTAACTCACAAGAGTTAGAATGTGTTAATACTTGAGTGACTAGGAGATCAGATCAATAACTATTTTGACACTTACTCTGAAGGGCACCATTTTGTTAGTCCGATATCTTTCATCACTCTCAAAAACACAAAGCCAAATCTCTTTTCCAGTGGAATATAGGATATTTTTTCTGCTTTTGATACTTTGTATGAAGACATACATCCCAGCCTGCTTTTACCAAAGAGAAAGAGACTATTCCAAAAGTAAATTCTATGACTGCTTGAGAGAGATTATAGTTTTCCTACTTTTTCCATTTGAGTTAGCAGAAAGGACTGCTTGAACAGAGCTAGAGAATAGGTCTTCTCTTCCAACTGGAAGATTAGAAAGACAGACTAGGAAAAAAAGCAACAGCCTACCAACAACTCAAACAAGGGCAAGTCAAGGGACATAGGCATTGCTATGTCATACTCCATGGTACAAAAAACCCCTATAAATTTGTAATTACTTGTCAACTGGATATTCATGTCCTGAAGGATTCCCTTTCAGTGTTGTTAGAAAAAAAAAAAGCATATATTCATATGTAAAGAAAGAATTGAAAACTTATACATAACAAGTTAAAAATAATTTTTAAAAGAAGATGCACACAAATACAGTACTAAAAGTCTTTTACAAGTTATCTCAAAGTTTGTTTGGACAGTCAAAAAAGCAGGCATGTTGATACATAAACACTTGTTCACTGATGAACAAGTGTTCATCAGTGTCTTAAGTGTTTTAAGTACTGATAATGTCAGTACTTCAGTAGTTAAAAATTCTGGTTCAAAATTTCTACATTCAGGCAATTATTTACATCTTCAGAGACAAAAATATGTCAAAGCTCAACTCCAGATGAAGATTGAACTTATCCTTACAAGTCATTGTTAATACAGGAAACAAAACGAGCAACTTAGGGCTGATCTATAATTTACAAACTTAGTCTACAAGAGCCAAATTCTGAAAGTTTCCAGGAAGCACCAACTCAAGCTTACATACTCTGAATTTGTCTCCATGTGTTGAGTTAGCCACCAGATGTGTAACTTTTGAGCTAAAGTCCTTTCGAATGATTCCACCCATATGATGAACCAAGGTCACAAGCTTAACCTGAAAAATAAAGATTAAATAAGTTTTCAGTATATCTTTTGAAGTGTACAGTGCAGAGAAAGAACAGAACAAAAGTAGTTTATAAAGCAGGCTACAGAAATTTACATTAAATGTCTAGGAACAGAAATACTCCAATGTGTTCTTAAAACAATTTGTTCACATCTATAGGAGAAGATAAAGCTGATAGAGCAGAAGAACTATTAATTAAAAAAAAAAAATACAGTCTTGCTGTGTAGCTTGAGAAAGACTACCCAAGCCACCTGTACTCTCATGATCATCACACATAATGCCTTCACCTTTTCACACATAACAGATCTGAAGCATGTTTTTCTCATTGATTTTCTACCTGAAGGGGTAATTGACAGAATTTACACAAGATAACAATTTGTTCAATTTAAATCTAGCAGATCAAACTTAACTACCCCTAACACTGGGCAATGGCTTTTGTTTTGGTTTGTTGTTTGTTGTTTTTTTTTCCCCAGATGAAGATGTGGAACCATGTTGTTTATTCCCTGGTGTCCAATAGGAAAATTAGGTGCCAACTGCATCACTGAAATGGAAGAGTGCTACAGTATCAAGCCACTTCATACCTAGATAGGTCAAGACTAAAGTTCTGATAGCATAACAGCAAGAAAGCATGGCATTAAGATAATATGTCTGCAAATGCTCTGAACAGAACAACAAAGCTTTACTTGGCCACACTACTACCTGTGCATGTAAGAGAACACTATTGGATAAACACCTAATCTGAAACCTCAGTCTACAAATCTTGAAGCCCTACTGATTTAGAGCTGTTTAGTGTCACCCAACAAAAAGTGACCAAAAATGGCATGGACAGAATTAGTTGGACAAGGAACAGTTCTGTTCCCATCCTCAAATATCGCTGCCTCTGGACATGCAAGAAAACAAAAGAACAATTTATTCCCCACATACAAGCTCTAGTGAATATTAAACCCTGTGGGTGATAGCATAGAAGAGTATTTCGTGAAAAAAAAAAAAATCGTTTTACCAATCCAAAGGAAAAAAAAAAGTCTTACTAATTCATCTTTCTTTCTGAATCCTGTGAAGCACAGTACCAAGTTCAACATACTTGTACAGTACAGTGGACGACAGGAGAAAGGTAAAGGCTGAAAGTAAGAAAATAAGCTTATTAGTCAAAAGCATACTGCTTCCATTAGAGCTTTAGCATTATCTTTAATACAGTACTCTTGCTCCTAGTATCAAAATGCTTCAGACACTAGTCTAAGTCTGTTCATTCAGTTACAGCTCAGCTCCAGACCTGCCAGTGTTCTGATAAAGTAACTAGAGTATCCCAAGTTCCACAGGTAGTGCTCCATGCTTTTTTCACCCCTCCCCAATCCAACCCTTCTATGCAACAAGATCTGAAAATATAAAGAATCTGCTGGAGCATCATTTATATGCTGCCTTTCCTAATGGCAAAATCCCAACTAGTGGGTCAACAACTCCACTAAGTACTGCAGTAGTTGTAGCCTTACTACTGTCTCCCTGTGCTTTCTCACTACATGCAATAGTCTAACACGATACTAGATACTTGATTTATTCAAATTCTCTTGCTATTATTTATGATTGACTGGCAAAATAGTTTTTATTTGAGCACTTAATATTTAGAACTCATTGCACCAGAAAACTACTCAACTGATTTCATGAGAAGGCACATACCTCTCCTCTTTGAGCACAGTGCAGTACCACTGGAGGTCCAATGACACGGCAATCTGCTTTGCAGAGGTTGTTAAAGATAGCATCTTGGAAGTCTGATACAACAAAGATAGTCTCAAATTCTGGGGAATCAGAATCTCCAAGCTCTTCTAACGTGTCTGTCTTTATGTAGGGCACTTTAATTTCCTGGATGAAGGGGAAAGCATTATTCAGGCAACATATTTACACCAGTGTCAAAACTCAACTGATTTTTATTTTGGACCATGAAAATAAAAAGTATGATTCAGATTCCAGAGACAGACTCTTAGGATTTGTGAAAGCTGAAAGAGATGTACTGTTCTCCAGCATAAGAATAGCTATGAACTGCACCTAAAAGAATGTCTTAAAACAATTACTGCTTCTGAAGAATAAGAACTCTAGTTACTTTAGTAGTTTATGTATCAGTTCACACAGATATATAGTTTTGGAAATATCTACAGATAGAAAAAAACAAATTAAGCACAAAAGAGAAATGAAACTTCAGACTGTCAGGTTAAAATATTTCTGGATTCTACCAAAAAGTAGTATCCATCTTGCAACAGCAAGTTCTGTGCTGCATAAGATCTAAAGAACAGAAGTCAATTTTGCTCACTGCTTGATGTTTTAAGGGCTCTAAAAACTCTGTCTGTTCCAATCTCAATTGTTAGTTCCAAATTTTATTTTCCTGGTTTTCCACATCAAGAAATGGAGAACCACTTCTTATACTTAATTTTAAATGCAGCTTTCAGGTGAAAGAGAAGTCAATTAACCAATTATGAAGTCAGTTCATAGCAAAAACTTATGTGTTGACTGAATATAAGCATGCAGTTGAATGTCTCCATTGATATTTCTATTCCCCTGTTAGAAAACACCACTAATTAAGAGCTGGAGATACTACTTCTGTATTTGAGAAAGTGTAAAAGTGCCAATTTTGACAAGCTTTAAGTAACACCATCAGAAACATTAGCATATAGTGACCATTATGCCCAATTAATATAAATTAAAGCATGTGCACATTTCCGTCCCAGTGAAGTACAACATGCTGCATGCAAGCACACGTGCTTAATTGCATGACATACCATATGAATAATACTTTTTATTAGTTTTTCTTCTGATTTACCAGGACTAGTTTCCTTTATCTTTATAACTGGTACTTCCATTATCTTAATGGTCTGCAGAAGAGGAGAAATTAAGAACAGAACCAAATTGGCTACTAGAAGTCTAAAAGCATACCATCTCATTCCAGGGACCGTTTTACCCGAGATCCACATACCTCCAAGGCTTTCAGAAGCTCCTCATGTTTCCCTGCTTCCTGAACCAAAACCACTCTTGTTTCTATTTGAGGCATTTCTTCTGTTTATAGAGAAACAAGGATATTTGTCTTTTAATAAAAAAAAAAACATGTTAGGTCTAAATTAATCAATAAGGCACAGAACACAGGCAGATTGCAACCTTTCAAGATACCTTGATTATCAGGAACAAGCCTAAAAGTAAGTGTTACCTCAAGAAGCCCGTCCTTTAATTAAGGCACACCAAATTGACCATAAAGCCTAAACTTTCTGGCATATGGTAAAACAAGACCGTACAGTTCATGACCTTATAGTCAAAGCAAGAACATGCAAGAAGAGTCAGCAAGGGCAAAAAGAATAAAACAAAGAAAAGCAACAAAATTATTGACTTAAAAGTACCTAATTCTGCTAGAAGAAAAGACTTGCTGGAAAAATAGACACCTGGTATCTTCTCTAGTTTCTGTGCTTCCTGGATGACAAGGTTCATTACTTCCTAGTAACTGCTCAGTTTCACCAAGGAATATCAGACCTTAAAGTTAGATATCTTGTTCTTTTCCTCTATGTATTAATAAGCTTTCAAAATATTAGGAGGAAGGGACAAGTGTCACCTCCGTATCATTTGCACCACAAGACTGTCGCTGGATTTTGGCTACTGCATTGCAGGAAAACAGAAATATCTTATTTCTTGGGTTTTAATTTCAAGATTTGTTCTTGACTTACGTTCAAGCTCAGGACTATTCATCTCTAAGGTCTAGCTGTACACAACAGAGCAGCTGTAGTTTCCAATGGTGTCAAAACCTCACCTAGAATGATTTATTCCACAGAAACATCAAATGGAACTATCAGCTTTCTAGTCATCAGCCAGAAGACTCATTTAAGTTCATGGTCATAATCAAAATTTTTGTAACAAGATGAGTTAAAAATTAAGACAGTTCCTTTGTTGGTGAAAGGATACTAGAGCAACACCCTTTTGGCTACCCTAATACAATTTCATAGTACATCAAAGCATTTTTGGTTTTTCAAAGTTACTAAATACCTACGAAGTAATCAGTAATTACAACACAGTAGTCTCAAAATAAGCTTCTCCCATTACCTTCAACATCCAAAATAGATCCAGGAAATACATGCTCTTTGGAGGTTTCTATAATTTTTGAATCAAGAACAGAAGAATCAGCCAAGAGGCTCCTCCCGGTTTCAGACACCAGGGTACTGTTGTCAGCCATGACCGTGTCTTATTTCTTCAACAGCTGGAACATAGATGTGGTAAATTAAGTTACAGTTGCAAAAAGCTCATGAATAATAGTTCTATGACTAAAGCAGTCAGAAGAAACTTCAGACTTCTGAAAAGCAAAACATTTAGACTCATTTAAAATCCCACTTACACTGATAGAGTAGTTCTAAGAGGAGCATTAGGAGTCACACAGTTGGTAGAAAGGACTTACAACAAACCTGTTACAGAAAAAATTCTGAGCAGGCGGCCTACCATGAAATTATTAATTGGCACAGAAAGCTGCAGAGAGGGTCCTTCACCCTGAGCAGCAAGGAAACACTAACTCTAGTGTTTGTTTTGACAAGTTTCACCACAAAACATCAACAAACTAAAAGCACTTGTTTGCTTCAGTGATAAACAATATAAACTAGATTTGAGACCAAGATTAGCATTGTTAAAGGGAAACATTAGCAGAAGAACTAGTGTACAGAAAGCATCTTGCCAAAATTTGATTTTTCAGGTGAACTGGCCAGAGTTACTGTGGTTACATAAAAATGACCACCCAGGAGTGAAACTTGCAATGTTTACTCAAAGAAAAATTAGGTTTCTCAAAACACACAAGAGTCTCTACAAAGTTAATAAACATATATACGTCTATCTGTATGATCTAGTCTACTGTCCTATATTAACCATAATATAGAAGTAGCCATTCATCACCAGATAGAGGCCTTCCGTCTTCTCACAGATAGAATATAGATAGCTGTGCTCTCCCTGCCCACCAAACAAGCTTGTCACATACTGGAAAGGCAGAATTCTAATTCCTCTCATTTTATACAGGTAGCTACCTGAATCTTGTACTAGAAAAACTGTTCTAAGACACCTACTCAACATGCAGTACATTTTCCTCTGTGTGTGAAGTATGATGCATGCATTTCCTGTGATTCAGCATTCACACAAAGTTAAATATTTGCACAGTGATATCAGAAGTAGAATAGCCACTGTATCTGATCTCTGATATTCTGTATCACTTAACTAAAATTCTCCTCATGACTGTCAACACCCCTTTAAAACAGTAGCCACCCAAATAATACATTAAAACATTGTCTGAAAGAGGACTCATGAGGTAGCAAAACCCTTAGAGAATGGCACATACTATTTTTCAAGGTGCAAAATGCCTGTTCACTTACATAGCAAAGTAAAAAACAGAAGACAAAAAACAACAGGTGTTTTGACATAACAGCAATATAGAAAAGAATTTATCTTCTAGAGTTTAGATCATGTTTGAGACTCTTGGACAGGATTCGTGTCTTCATAATATATCACGTAAATTCCTAAGACAGTGATGAGCAGTAAGCCAACACTACAAATCTACCATCATTCCAGGCATATTCAGTTATCAGAATGGCCACCTTAGTTGCAATTTTGTCACACACAGCTGTGCAGGCTCCAGAGAACTAAGTTTCCTAGCAGTAAATCCTGGTCACTCAGCTAGTTTATCTCAGAAAACCCAGAGATCTAGCAAGAGGAGAAACTAACTTTAACCAGAATCTTTAGGGATCACCTGTTCAGAAGGTTTTAGAGATAGCAGTGGGGACTGATATACAGTTAACTCTTTTTTTGGCAGAGACGGTGAAGGGAAGCATAATCTTGGAAGATTCAAACCATATTGTTAATAATCATTAACACAGTTATATGTAAAATCAGACCAAAAAAACTCCAAACCCTCAAGGGTACCATTAAATTTGAAACCTACAGATTATTTTTAAAGTCTGAGACATTGATATGATGTCACGCTGTTATTGTTCTACCTAAGAACACACACTTAAGAGAACTTCATAGCATATTTGGGGCAGGTTCACACTTTGGGCTGGGCATTGATTTCCTTTATGGCTTTTCCAATTTATTTATTTATAGGGTTCCATTCTGTGTGCCTTTTAAAAAGTAGCCCCTGTTCTAACAGCCACATACTAATTAACATAACACTAGTCACTAAGCTTACACACCGAGAGCACCAAGATACTGAAGAGAACAAACAGCACACAGAAGATATTAACATGACAGTTTTCCCTCCTATAAAAAAAAGGGCAAAAGACAGAACACCATCACTACAGGATTGAGGCAGACCTGAATGCTCTTACAGCATTACACTTATAAATAACCTCCCAATAGCTTATGAAAAGCTCAAAGATCGCAAAACATCCACATGCTAAAGTGTTTTTTAAAGCATAGAAACAACATTTTAAAGCTTCCCGTGTTGCCCTTTTCCCTCCCGAGGAGCTACCCAGAAGCGTGGTCAAGCTGCCTTACTAGCAGGTGGCCGGAGGCAAGACTAGGTATCACCGGCTACTCTCACCTTAGGAGCCAGCAGGTGCCGGCGGGCACGGACCTCCTCCCTGCCCAGAGGGGGTTGCCAGCGGCCTCAAAGAGCCCAGAGCCGCGCTGAACCGCGGAGCTGCCCCCAGAGGCCCGCGGGCCTCACAGGTGCCCTGGGCACAGCCCCAGCCCACCTCGGCCGGCCCCGCCCCAGGCCGCCCGCACTCGCCGCTGCCCTCC